CCCCCATACACAGCACAAATGGCTTGAAGCAAAGGGAAATTTCGCTTGGTTTGTCAAACCGCTTGTGTGGTGTATTTCGCTCTTNAAAAAAAAAAAAGATTTCACTAAACTGAAATTTCAATGAATATTTAGCTGTAGTTCAAATAAATATTGTATATATAAACTAAGCCTTGCTATAAAAATGGTGCTCGTTATGTGTGATATTCTATCACGTTCAACTTGTAAAGTAAAATTCGGACACCAAATTAAAAGATGATTCATGAGTTTGCACATATTCATAGTTTAGTCATTCCCACTCATTCCCCATTCCCATCAGTCATTCTACGTACTGGAATGACTCGGACTTCTACTTACCAAGTAATGTTGTTTCGATGTAGGTTAAGAGCGAAATACACCACACAAGCGGTTTGACAAACCAAGCGAAATTTCCCTTTGCTTCAAGCCATTTGTGCTGTGTATGGGGNACGTCAGCAAAATGCAGGTTAATAAGTAAAAGAATAGAACACTTGTTTTAAAATGCAGCATAAAAATGGGAATAATTTTGCAGTACAAGTTTTATGGGGGTGAATATGATATTAAAGTTAAGCGTTATACAAAAAAAAAAAAAAGATTTCACTAAACTGAAATTTCAATGAATATTTAGCTGTAGTTCAAATAAATATTGTATATATAAACTAAACCTTGCTATAAAAATGGTGCTCGTTATGTGTGATATTCTATCACGTTCAACTTGTAAAGTAAAATTCGGACACCAAATTAAAAGATGATTCATCAGTTTGCACATATTCATAGTTTAGTCATTCCCACGACAGTCGGATCTACGTACTGGAATGACTCGGATTTCTACTTACCAAGTGATGTTGTTTCTATGTAGGTTAGGTTACGGTGGTTGCAAGGCGAATTTATACTCGGTGGTGTTGTTAGATCAGCTGGTTTCTTTGCCTAACATGTATTTTGTTTTTGCTTTTACTGATTTGACAGCACACCCATCAAAAGCAAAAGCAAAATACATGAAAATTTGGGGCGAATTAAGATTTGACATAACAGCCGCAATACAAAATACATGGGATTGTTGTATTTGCTCTACCGCTACCACTTTGTATAAATTCGGTTTGGGTGGCTGCCACTCCACACAGTCCGGCAGAGTCGAGTTTAGCTAAATACTGAGAGATATTTATCACAAAGAGTACATCGTGTCCTTGCCAGAGTGCTCTATACTCTCCAACTCCTCTTTGCCACTGATACCACGCTTTAACCCTGTTTAAGCCAGTGAAAGCTTTTAATCGTTGCTCGTCCCTGCAGCAACATCACGCCAGACACCTATCTCTGATGTGTATGCCAGAGAAGACTCTACCCGTTTAAGTGCAGCCAATGGATGCAGCCAACTAAACAACTTCTCAGGTCTTAGGTCACACAAGGAGTGGACCTCATGATTGTTGGCCCCATGTTGGTCAAGCAAAACGGTAACTACAGCCACTATGGTGACCAACAACTTGCGCAATATGCAGGTGTCTCCAAACACCCAAGCAGTCTCTACTTAGCTCACCTGAGCAACATCACTCTAACTCCCAAATACCCATCCCCCATCCCGATTCAATTCCACTGTCTGCTCCGTATGTCAGTCCAGAATATATCGTAACAAATACTACTAAATTGCATTAGACTTCAGAGCAATATCGAGATAACCGTCTTCATGGGCCGGTAATAATGATACATAGCTGCAGTGCAAGAGATGAAGCTACACAGTAACTTCACTTCGCTGTGCTGCGCCGGATACAATGTGCACTGTCGCAATCCCGATTATGGTCGAATATAAGCACCTACATCAACTTTAACAAAGCTTGCTAGGTCGGTTTCGCGGATGTTACTAAGAGTACCTTAGCCGCTCTTCCCACACCAACAGACGTTCAAGCTGGCGAACGCAGATAGTCACTGCCGCATCGACTCGCTTCATCCTTTCTGGACGTATAGTGGAAATCCGTCCTTACAGTTGATGAGGATATTATAGTGAATAAGTTTAATCGGCTTAGCCAGGTTGATCCCGGGAATCACAGTATCAGGGATCTGAATTCGGAGATCCGATAAAAACCAGTGCAAGCGGAAGGTATGCGAGGAGCAGTTGAAGACTAGCAGATTCTCCTCTGGTGCGATCAAGGTTTGGTCGACCATAAGGTCACTGTCCACTGTGGACATCGTACACTACGGCTAATTTACGGCACCACCACAGGCCTTAACCGTAACCGTCCCTGTTAGAGAACAGCCCTAGTAGCGTTGGACTTGTCGAAGCCGTTTGACACCGTTTGCCGTACCACGCTATTAGAGGACATAGAGGCTTCTTTTCTCCTACACGGACCTTACGGTAGTCAGGGAATTATCTGAGTGGTCGACAGCGTTAGAGGAAAAACATCAAACCTAAATTAGATTAAACAGGTTATCCTCTCCCCAAATCTGTTCAACTAATACATATTGAAACTTCCCCAAACGCCAGAGGGAGTTTCCTTTGGCTCGTACGCTGACGACTGCTCGATAATGCCGTCCAGCAATGAAATTGATGACCAACGTTCCAATGTAAACGGCTACCTCTCCGAACTTTCTCGCTTCTTCACTGCAAGGACTCCAAGTAAAGGAGCACAACATCGTGCTCAGTAAGCATCACCACGTTGGTTGCTATAGATTTGGACATATCTTTACGAATTAAAGGACGAGGCCTAGACAACCACTGGACCCAGCAATACATACCAGAATTTAAACGACATCCGGTTTAAAGGCTCACTGAAATCTGCAGCGTCTGTTCACTTAGTAGGTGCGGGTGCAAGAGAGCGTCTGCCTTGAAGCAAGCGGCTCGCGAAATAAACGTGTATTCGGTTGCGAAACCACCCCCGTCCCAGCAATGTATTGAGCGCTGGATTTAGGTCCACGTAAAAGCCCCTTTCGGTGAACAACGAAAATGCCTCGGATGAGATCCACCTTTTGATGACGACCACAGCAAACGTTTAAAGGACTATGATTTCAGGGCATGCACCTGGAATTCCGGACCCTCAACGGGGAAGGTGCCTCTGCCCAGCTGGTTGATGACCTCGTATGGAGAAAAGCACTGACATCACCACCATCCAAGAAATGCGTTGGACGGGGAAGGCAAGAAATGCCTGGGGCCTTGCGACGTCTACTACAGCTGCCATGTAAAGCAGCGCAAATTCGGTGTTGCATTTGTGGTGGGCGAGAGACTCCGTCGTCGAGTACTGTCGTTCACCCCGGTGCACGAGCGTCTAGCCATAGTCTGCATCAAAGCGAGATTCTTCTACATCTCGTTCATCTGCTGGTAGTAAACAGTACTAGGCTCAAGCGTAAAAAACCCATCAAGTTACTTGGCTGTTCCAGATCGAAAAACGAGAAACAAAATCGACCATATTATAATAGATGGAAGGCACGCTCCCAATGTTTTATACGTACGCACACTTCGAGCCACAAACAGGGACTCGGACCACTATACTGTTGCAGCCAAGATACGCATCCGCCTCTGTGCCGCAAAAAATGTGCTTAACGTCGAAAAGCTGCAGTCCCATGAACGGCCAACGCATTCGCTACTCGACTCTCTAACTTGCTCTCAGAGAGCACTGTTCCGACAAACCGACATAGGCGAGCAGTGGAACCACATTTCCCATTCATTGAGCACCGCCGCCGAAGAAGTAATCGGATTTCAGCGAGCCCGAAAGAACAACTGGTACGATGAGATGTGCCAAGAAGCTGCAGAGTAAAAAAATGCCGCCTACAGGGCCACGCTGCGATCGGGGGCAAAATTCATTCTCTCAATTCGTCGGCCATGATTTTTTTCTGACGTTTGCAAGCATTTTAAAATTATATAAAATCGAAAATGAAATTGTTCACAATTTTTGTTATTTGAGGTTGGAAATGAGAATTTGTGTGTGAGATTGAGTTTTAAATTATTAAATCATATGGCTGGAAAAGTCAGACTACCTCTCAATGGTTTCACCTTGTTATGTTTTTATCATGGTCCAGACGATTTATTATTAACCGCTGGCAGCCCCATTGCGAAGTCAATTTGGCACTGCCACCCAAGAATGATGGAATACAAGATTATGCCCATCAGAGAGGACTTTTGAGAATTAGTTTTCTGTGACATCACACTGAGGCAATTGCGAGAGAGAAATGCCAAACCGCGAGCAAGGATGGAAGAAGAAAAAAATTTGGCAAGGAAAACGTAAACAAGTTGCACAAGTGTGACGTCATACAAACAACGATACTGTCAAATTCACTGAGAGCGGAATAGCGGTATCGAGATGGGCGCCACATTTTTTCTCTACACTATATTATTTCATGACGCCATTTTGGTATTTTTTTGAAATAATTTATGGACGAGAACGCAGAATTTTAAAATTAACTTTTCTATAAACAGTTATATTTGACCGCAATTTGTAATTCTATTATAAACTTCTGAAATTTGTCTCAATAATTTAACCAAATGCAAAACTGTCCGTTGGGAGACCGACTACCAAGATGAAGGTGGTTCATTCTGGAAAGGCTTGTAGCGTCTGGAACAGCACGGGTGTCTGATCGGGTTGATCAGATTAAGGTGGAGGGCAGTGTGACATTGTTGTTCAATAAAGATAAATGGTCTATGTATTAGCGTTTATTTAACAATCCAGTGATACGAACACGAAGGATTTTGGTTAATCCGTCTTTCGTTCATGAAGGTTACACCATGAACCAAAAATGAGGTTACACTGGTCACAACGGCGAACATGTACGCGAGCCTGCTCGCCAACATGCTTGCTGTCGTTTGCCACAGATGGTGAGCGGCTCCTATGTGATCTTGTCGTAATAGCGTAAAGATGGATAGCACGCCGAGCATGCTCTCGCACATGTTCGTCGTGTGTGGCCATTGTTATGCTTTTATTAATGTGAGTGGAAAATTTTCGATGCATGAATCAAAAAGTCGATATTTTCGATGCATTTATGATTTTCCGACATCCCTAGTGTCATTTTCATTTAAGAATCTGGCAACGTTATTTGACGGATGACGACATAAAAAAATAAAAGTTTGCGAAAGTACGAAACATTCAATTTAACAAAATCTTAAGCAGAAAGATAAATTTTAAGCATTTATTGTCGTGGCTAAAGATTTATGACAAAATTACCAAAAAGCTCAGCAGAGGTAAAAAGCAGCCTGGCATACATACATATGCACGAACATAGTAGAAAACCTATTGTGCATTCAGTGGAATTGGAATACCTAGCATATTTTTAAATCTTGGAATACCAGAGAACAAGCGTGCAATAGTTTACGATTTGGTAAACAAACAGTTTTATTACATACGTTCATAGCCATTGCAAGTAGCTGGTGTAGAATACACATTTGAAAGATGGTGAAACTCTTTGCATTGAGCATCTTTTACAAGGGTCCAACAGAGGCACGACTGTTGAAATCGGCTTACGATTTGCAATCATTTTCTTTCTTTCAACGCGGCACAGTTCAGGAGTTTATGACGTATGTCGTGATCTTAATATAATTTATGTGTATCTACTAACAATTTCTATTTTTGTGCATACATACATATGTATATTAATATTTGTAATTTTTTAGTTTTGCATCAAAAACGATAGTGGAGCGTACACAGCCAGCGATGCGACAGTCAGTAAAGCAGGAAGCTTACATGTGTCATGTATATGTCCGTGCTGATAACTTGGCGGGTGTACTGATTGCTGATCATGAATATCCACAGCGTGTTGCACATACACTCATCACTAAGATATTGGACGAATTCAGCACCAAAATAGGGCCAGAACGTTGGGAAACAGGGGCTGAATCCACCATTGACTTTAGCGTACTACCCGCATATTTAGCAAAGTATCAGGATCCCAAAGAGGCAGATGCGTTGACGAAAATGCAAAACGATTTAGATGAAACTAAGATTATTTTAAAGAATACCATCGAAGCGGTGCTCGAGCGCGGCGAAAAGTTAGATGACATGGTAATCAAGTCAGAAAATCTTTCAATACAAAGTAAAGCTTTCTATAAGACAGCTAAAAAGACCAATTCATGTTGCAGTTTCAGTTAAGTATAGGTTACAGAAACATAAAAATATGAAGTTTTCGCGAAAAAAATAAATTTTCTTTTGAAGTGTTTGCTGTTTGCAATGCCGTTTACCACATATTTGAGTTAATACTGATGCTTAAGGTGGTGTTGCTTTTTAAATTTATCAAACAAAAAATATATATATATATATAAATCATAGAAGTTTATTAATGTAGGAAGAAAGGGAGTTGTTACGACAAACTAATAAAAAAGTATAATAAAATATACAATTAGCTCAAGATAAAGGAACCCACAATATACTTCATTCCAAACCATATAACTAATTTGACTTTCATTTAAAGTGTCAATATTAATTTGAGACCGGAGATGGAGATTAACTACAGTTGACAAAAATTAACCATATACATATGTACAAATATTGGCAGATGTGCTTTTATTGAATCGTGAAATTAAATTAATGCGCTGATCATAATTGTGAAAGTAACTGACTTCAAGAAAAATATGTACAACATATGTATGTAACCGCTTTTTCCTATTTACATATGTATATACAAAACTATTTGTATGAATGTATGACCTTGCGGGAGGTGTCTCAAAATTAATTTATACTTGACTTGGTTGGCTATGTTTAAACGACGAGATGTTTTGGTATCAGAACAAAAATTAAAATTTAGCCAAATTGACTGCCGATAACTGCATTCAAATTTTATATGTTAAATTCTTTAACACTAATCTAATATAAATTCATATACATACATACGTATAAATGTATGCATGTGGATTGTTTGCGGATAAGGTGTAACAAAAGGACGTGGATGTCCGCCCAGCTTATTAGATACATACATATATGTAAAATAAACAAACATCCCTGCAAACCAAAGCTCCCAACATCTTATACGAAATCTTTAATGTGTGCCGAAATCGTGTGGCAATATCTTTACGAATCTTCAAAGAAAATTATACGAAGTGGTTGACATGAACACGTAAAGAAATTTCTATACGATTGCTTAAAATTCGGGGGAAAAAACATTGAAACATTCTTCTCATTGTAGAATAATTTTTCGGATGTTCTATCGAAATTTCGTAAAAGAATAGAATTGTGCTCATTACATTTCATTTTAGAAAATACTATTCAGAAAATTCTGAAAGCATGTTTGCAGGGACGTTAAGCTATATATCGAATTTCTAAACAAAAACTGATCAAAAGTAAGAGGATTGGTTCCACCGATTAACTTGTTTACATCTCTATTGACTACACAATACTGGGTAATTTTGATTGTGTTAAGTTAGACTTGCAATGACGCTAAAGATAATGTAAATTGTTATAAAATAAAAAAATATGGATTTTAATGCTATAAAAAATATAGTTGCAAAATTTTTATAAGTTTATGAGAACACTCAAACCCAATTTACCTTTTTATTTTTTTACGTGCTAATGTCCGAGCAATTCAATTCCATTTTCGAAAATTTCCATACTTTTTTTAATTATGTTTTGTTTTTTTCAAAAACTGTAGTTAATTTAATAATTAAGTTTTTATGCTCATCAATTTATAGGTTTGGTTTTGTTTTTTTTTTATATTGAAGTTTAATAATTACACTTTTTCTGAGATGCGATTTTTTTACATATTCGATATGTGAGCTTTCAGGATACACCAAAATATAAAAATTCATAGCCATTCCTTAAGAAAATATGAAACTCATCGGCATATTTAGAACAGCCCTGAGGGCACTCTTTTCGTTAATTTAAAAAATTGTTTGCTTCAATTAGGTTTAAAAATTGTCAAAAAGGCTATTATTGACATATAAATACGAATAACCCAAACGAACTACAAAATCCTATTTATCAAAATTATAGTATCTTCTAGATGTAACTTACCTTTGAAAATGTGAAATACACAAGTGTTGAAAGATTGGTGTCATTATCGGTCACATAATATTATAACCGTAAAAATTCAGACAGATTCTACGTGAATAAATAAAAAAAATACATAATTAAAGTTCTCATTTTCGTTGTTGGTTTTTCCGACAGGGTAGGAGTGTGATGTAATGTGGAATTAGGAGTTTTAAACGAAAGTTTTAGTGAACAATTATTCATAAAGCTTTAATTATATGATGTAATGTGGAACGATTTTCCGCTATCCCTTGACCAATTTGGTTTGGAGGCAAACCGGTTTGTTTCACTAAAACTTTGTTTAAAGTTCCTAATTCCCCTATCACTCAAAAATTAGCTCCAATTTAAATGGTACACATTAGGGGGGTTATTATTTAACTTATATGGCTAGTTACGTTTCATTCTTACCTCATCCATTGCGTTCATTTGCTTGTATGTGTTCGCAGCAAAAGCGACTGCCTGGCAACCTGAAATTTATACATTTATCCAACAAAGTCGTTTGATAAAGTGATCAACTTTGTTTAAATAGACTTGCATACAAAGTTTGACTGTTCATTTATCAAAATGATAAATTTATCACTTTATTAAGTTTATTAAGACCCAGTTTTGATGAAGACCCATATTGTTCAAACTAATAAGTCAAGTACCAACTCGTGTTTGAAGTATAATTTTTAAGGCACAGCTAAAATTTAATCAAAACAAATTCGCATTGAGTCAAACTACATATTTACATAACAGTTAGCCAGGCTTTTTTTGAGAAATAAAAT